GACAACGTCTTATCAGAAAAATGGAAAAGTTTGGTAGATCAATGACGTTATTGGAACTGTCTTCTTGCGAGTGTTAAGAAGTTTTCCAGATAATCCTCGTTCGATTCAACGGGGTAGAATATTCTACCCTTTGCGGTCCTCTTTTGTTCCAGTCTTCACAATTTTTGTGGAACTGTTGGAACCGTGGGACTTATCACTGAGGGCCTTTCGTTCCAATGTAACTCGACAACGTTGTATCAGAAAATTAGGAAAATTTAATGGATCAATGATGTTATTTAAACACTCTTCTCGCGAGTGTTAAGAAGTTTGAAAAGCGTATGAACAGAGGCTGGAGACCGCGAAGTAACGGTTCCCATTAGACACGAACAACGAGGCCTTCGTTATCCCTCTCGTGACGTTCATTACCAAACCCGAAGAATATCAATAACACCATTACGTGCGAACGTGAGCCACCGTGGTGATCGGTCAATTTATTCGCAAACGTAACGAATAGACCGGCAAGGGGAGTCGCAGCGCTCCGTGAGACGGTATTGTGGACCTATCAATGAACGAACACAAATTTTAACAGTTCATCCGGTTACGTTGATCCCGAAGGTATAAGCGGTTTCACGGCGCGACCCCCGAAACGCAAGGTCTCCGTGAGCCTCTATGGGGCTTTCACGGGTCTCGTCGAGTCCCACTCATGGGGGGTTCTCAACGGGCGGGGCCCCATTCTCCGCGGGGCGCCGGTGTTCATTGTACCGTCACTGCGTGTTTAGTACTCACGCGTCAAGTTAACAGCATCCCTCCCCTTCTCACCTCCTCTTTTTTCTCCTCTTCCTTTCTTTTCTCTCCTTCGTCTCTATTTTTCCATCCACCGTCACCATCCCCGTGTTCCTCGTTCCTCCTTCCACGGCTCCTCTATTGCGACCACGAGTTTCTCAGACCTCGAATAGTCGCCAACTGTTTCTTTATACCGTTAAACACGGCGTCAGGTTCGCACAGGAACTCGCGTCACCCCGTGTTATCGAGATTATCGAGATTATCGAGATTATCGAGAAATCCCAAGGACCTCGCTGACACTTTGGCCTCGGTCGCACAGTTTGGGGTTGCCTCGGTGTCTCCTGAGCAGAGAGCTAGGAATAGCACGAGGATTTCCTTGATTCGCTGAATCGCGGGGCTTAACGAGCTGTTTAAGGAACACTCCTGTTTCAAGCTCGCTGCTGACCACTCGCTTTTCAGAAAAAGTCTCGTTAGTCCGTTCTATTAACGTTTAACGAACATCAGTCTACATCGGGCTACTGTACCGGGTTACTATTTTTGGCATCTAAATCATTGTGAACTACCTTAACCCTATTCTATCGTATCCGCGAATTAATCTCGATTTTAAAATTGAAAAAAATTCAAGGAAAATGTTCAATTTTATTTCAACTTTGATTGTCGTTGACCCATTAGTATTGTTCTTTGAACTTTTCTTCAGTTTTCTTCTTAATTTCTGCAATTTCCGTTTAACGAACATCAGTCTACATCGGGCTACTGTACCGGGTTACTATTTTTGGCATCTAAATCATTGTGAACTACCTTAACCCTATTCTATCGTATCCGCGAATTAATCTCGATTTTAAAATTGGAAAAAATTTAAGGAAAATGTTCAATTTTATTTCAACTTTGATTGTCGTTGACCCATTAGTATTGTTCTTTGAACTTTTCTTCAGTTTTCTTCTTAATTTCTGCAATTTCCGTTTAACGAACATCAGTCTACATCGGGCTACTGTACCGGGTTACTATTTTTGGCATCTAAATCATTGTGAACTACCTTAACCCTATTCTATCGTATCCGCGAATTAATCTCGATTTTAAAATTGGAAAAAATTCAAGGAAAATGTTCAATTTTATTTCAACTTCGACCGTCGTAGACCGATTAGTATTGTCCATCATTTCTCCAGTTTTCTTCTTAATTTCTACAATTTCCTTTCGCCCAATTGTTTTCATAAGTGGTTATACGATTTTTCACAAACGTTACATCAGAAAATGTCTCGGTAGTCGGTTCTATTAACGTTTAACGAACATCAATCCACATGGGGCTACTGCTAAACGGAGCTGACAGGACTACAACGGGGTTACTATTTTTGGTATCTAAATTATGGTAAACTAGCTTAACCCTATTCTATCGTTTTCGTGAATTAATCTCGATTTTAAAATTGGAGAAAATTCGAGGAAAATGTTCAATTTTCTTTCAACTTCGATCGTCGTAGATCAATTAGTATTGTTTTTTGAACTTACCTCCAGTTTTCTTCTTAATTTCTACAATTTCCTTTCGCCTCATTTTCTTCATAGTTGGTTATACGATTTTCCGCAATTGCAACCCAATGGCGCCGCGACGCCCGCCCGACCCTGGAACGGCCATCGGCGACACACTCGCGAATTCCATCACTCGACGACGTTATCTGCGGGAACAGCAGCGGTTTCCGTCTACGTTGCAAACGAAACCGGTTCCTTTTTATGACGGAATATCGGACGGACGGTCGTCGTTCGGTTTCAGCTGGTCGCTCGTCCCGTCTCCTCTCTCTCTCCTCTCTCCTCTACACTGTCTGCCCGCCGCCTCGGTGTTGGCCTGCTCCTTCGCTGAAACCTGTCGTTTTTTCACGGAGACGCAACACCGGGAACAGGAGGAAGGAAGCGTTGTGCTCCGAGTCCAGGGACGAAAAACGATGAAAACCCTTTTTGTCGTATCTCCGGTTCGAGATCGGCCCTTTCAGGAGAATCCGGGTTAGGAGACCTGTGGCACGAATCGATAATGTTGCGTGGAACGGAGGATACGGTCGAAAATTGGGTGAATTGAACTGTTAGAGGGTTAAAGACGAGTGTGCAGGGGAATGGCTGGAAGTCCAGATCGGTGCAAAAAGTGTAAATTTCGAGGCTTCTTGCTGCTCTTTCTTCGTCGTTTTCATCTCTCATCGAGGTTAATGACGATACAGACGTCTCTTCGGCAATTACACGCGGTTCCGCGATGTGTCGCCATCTACTTCCGGCTCGCGACCCGTGGTTCGCGTGGTCGCGACACTTTCACGCTTCCTAAAAATTTGGTTTCATTCGCTTTCTACTCGAACATGGCGCTTTATCTACGACCAACATCGCCAAGGATATCGCTCTTATAATTTTTTCGGAGATATTAAATACACGGAGGTCCTCGAGACCTGTAAGAGGATTTCAAGCGCGACTTCCAGAGTTAGTCCTTTCACTGTTTACCTGAAATAACGAGACACGGTTAAAAAACGTTCTACTGTGTCAATTCGGCCGGATTCGAGACGCGGACAGGGGAGAAATATGTTTCACGTGTATCTCTACGACACCTGTCGGAATATTTTAGTAAGCATTCTCGGTATCATAAATTTCCTACCTTCCAGTCTCCTATCGTTCTTCTTTCCATCTACGAATAAATTCCTCGTCGTTTGATCGACAAGATAAGAAAATATCCTACATCGATAAAAAAAGGAAAGAGAGAAAAATAAACACGTGAGATCCCGATCAGTTTTGTCGTTCCCTGCTGCCGCGTCGTTGGTAATTCTAATTTGCCAATTATTGCCATGATCCATCTAAACGTCGAACAAGATAAACCAAAAGACACGTGTCGAGTTTATCCGTCGCACGGACACCGTGAGCGTTAAGCAGCTGGCTGGCTTCTGGCTCCGTTTCGTTGACACTGAGCCGCGAAAGAGGAAAGAAACGACGTTTCGTGGTTCGGAGAAGGATTTTAGCATGTCGTGGACACCGGAGCGAGAGAGCGGGTGTTGCGCAACGGGGCAGAAAATCCTGGGGAAAAAGTGCGCAGTGGCGGATAGTGTGGCGAACAAGTACAATGTCGCAAAGGCATCGGCGCGCAAAAAGACGAAGGCCGCCACTGTTCCGGCGAATCGACTTTCCAAAGAGCCGGAATAAAAAAGCCAGGCCCGCCGGAGACTTCGGAAACCGTGGCCGGATGCATCTGGCAGCACGGTCGACTTCTGAATTCCAGCGGAATTTTTTCCAACGACTCTACCCGTTTTCGAACCGCGCCCTTTAAGGGCGACCCGGTCTCGCGAGAGGGGGGAAAAAAAATCGTGGTTAAACGATGGCGGGTAAAGGCGTCGCGTGACGAATGGCAACGTGCAAATTGGTCGTTCATGCAAATGCCAGATGGTCGAGTGGATCGTTGGCCGAACGGTTACGACTCCTTTTTTTCTCCCGAAATACGCGCAAAACGAGGGTAATGGCCCGGCGTGGACAGACGACTTTCAATTTTGACGCGTAAACGAGGTGTTCGCGGTTTCGGCTCGTGCCAGCTACTCCTCGCGCTTTCATCTCGTCGGCTTTACCTCGCTTAATGGACTCGTTGACAATGAGAACATACATTTCGCGCTTTACCTTGATCGCTTATACGCGCCGGAGTCGAGGAAGTTATTAGGGATAGATAAAACGGTAAAATATTTACACGAAGTTATCGCAGTTTTCGATCTAACGTCATTGTCTCTGGCGAGGAACGATGGTTGGATCGCGAGCGAACTGTTCGGCGTTGCCGTTCCTACATCCCCGATACATTCGTTTCCGCGGTGACATAACAAAACGCCGAAGAACGCGGGCGTCCGAGCCACCAATTTAAAGCGTCTGTTCTACGAAGCCGCGTATGTAGCTGCCTACGCCACTGTGTGCCGCAACCAGAGTCGCTGTTCTCTCGCGCAGACGGTTCCTCTGGAGCAGCGGCGTGGAGCAAAGCAGTCGCGGTGCTCGAGACAAGGAGCGACGCGATAGAGTCGCGCGAAGGACAAGGAGAGAGGGTATCGGGTTCCGTGTAGGGGCGGAGCGTGTCGTTCCGCCGCGGCCCCGGGAGGGGGTGCCGGTGGGCGGTCCTTCGTAGAACCGTGTCCGCCCCACCTTGTGACGCGCTGGTTTTCACGGTTCCACCGCGATGCGGCGCTGCCTCTGGCTGGAACCAGTTGCAGCTGTGCCGGTTCCCTCACTCCGCATCGCGGCTTCGGCTCGGTAGACGGGCCTGTATTTACCGTGGCGCAGCGTGCTCGCGCGTACCTCGTTTTCTGGCGTCGTTCCTCTCGACGTGTCGTCGTCGTCGTTGTCGTCGTGGTCGTCGTGGTCGTCGTATCTCGTCGTTCCTCGGTTCATCGTCACACGGGGGCACATGCGCCATGAAACGGGCCTGACGCGCGTCCGGTCGTCCCCATCGAAGGAGCACGAACTGAGATCGATCCCCGCGCTGTCGATGCTCCAAGGACACCAGGACGGTGGTAGTATTCGAGTGCAGGTGCGCGGACTAGCCGGGTGTTGCTTCGTCGCGTTCCTCCGACTACCTAGTGCTTTGTGAACCGTTCGCTCTGTTCCGACGATGGAACCAGGAATCCCGCGACAGGACTCCAGGACTGCGTCCAGTCGCCCCGACTCGCCGCGTCGTCCATGAACCTGTCCGAAACGCTTCGAGCCTAGTGATTGTGTATCAGTGAGGGGTGTACTCTCGGTCCCGGGTTAACGTGACTGTCTGCTCGGTGCTTCCGTCCCTTTCTTCCGCGTCGTTGCATCGAACCTACGAACCGGAAGTAGCCGCTGGATCCCGCAGTGATTCTTTTTCAGCGAGATGTGCCCGTGAGGGCGCGCGTTACCCTCCTTTGCCAGACGACGAGCAGTTCTACCCGGGATCCCCCCTTCGATATAACGATCGGATCGAGATAAGGTCGAGCAAAAGTCGAGGAAGAGCCGCGAAGTTGCCAGTGACGTTCTTGAGTGCCGAAAAGTTGCCGGACCGAGGAAACTACGAGAGGGTGAAGCGAGCTGACGGTGGTGGAGGAAGAAGAGGAGGCAGAAGAAGGGAACCTGCGCAGCGGACGCCATCTCCGCGTTATCGGCAAGCGGATCCCCCGGGACTCCCCCCCAAGCAGCTTCGGCGTCGCGCACCCTCGGCGGGAACTACCCCGCGACAGCAGCCACCCTGATGGGAGTGTATGAGGAGCGCGCCCCTCCTACCACCGGCATGCACTGGGTGAGTGTCATCCCTCTGTACCCTCTGTTCTTTGCTTATTGGCCATGCACGCACCGCGGAACCGTCGAGAGGGGCTCCCGTCCTTTGTCACGTTGGCCTCGATCATCTGTGGACGATGATCCTTCGCCCCGACCCTTTCATCTCATTGTCAGCCGAGTCTGCACTCTCGCGACTCGACGCTTCCATCTCGAACAGAGCTTCTTTTACAACCTCGCGAGGTGACGAGGTGGTCCTATCCTTTGCTCTTCTCCAACAACCGAACTAAGTTCCATCGTAATTTTTCACCATACTTTTAACCAGATCTTATAACTCTCCGGTCACTCTTTGCCCATTCTAACCCAAGTATCCAAACTCTGTCTCGTCAAACTCGCTTCTCGAAAAATCATCCAGTTTCCGAAAATAAAAAAAGCAAAAATGAGAAAACACGAATGAAACCACATCCAAAGATCACTTCCGCGCAAACATCGTTGCTCCACGGTTCTAAATCCTCGATCTCGAGGAGCTAATTAAAACCTCGCGCGGCGAGGGATAAGGGAGCCGCTGGATGGCGGTTCTCGGTGCCTGGTTGTAGCTGTTAATGGAAACAAATCCTAGCCGGATAATTCGATCCAACGATTTTATTGCCGGCGATTCCGTAATTGGAATATTGCCGGTCGAGCGGGTACGCGGACGGGCCCGACGCTTATCGGCGACGCAACGGCCGGCTGATATATTCGCTGGACGAGCATGGAACGGGTTCCACGATTCGCGACGACGTTGTAGATCGCCGCCGACAGAAAAAAGCCCGGCCCGACGACAGGCCTGCGTGCGTACACGGGGCACGGTTTGACGGATCGCCCCGAAGCTCGTGAATTTTTCGGGTGTCACCGGTGTAATGGATCGCGACACGCGAACCCGAGTCGCGCCCCCGGCCCGTTAATTGATTCCCCCCGGCGGAAGGGGTTGCAGATTTTCATCGGCTAAAAGCTGTACATTCCTCTTTTGTCCGACCCGCTGTTCCTCGGCCGGGGCCCGAGTCCTTAGCCCCCTCGGGCGTCGATTTTTCTCCCATTTCGAGTCGAACGGTGATCATTGTTCGATCTTTTCTCCCGTGGAAAGCTAGTAATGACTGACGTGGGTGTAATATGTCTTTCACGAGGTTCGTATATTTTAGTGGGAGGTATCGAGGCTCGAATACGTATGATCGATGGCTGGAACAAACGTCCCTATTGTTTCGCGACCGGAGTAAACGGTGTAGGTTCGAGCTTTTTCTTCGGAATTTCTTTGAAAATATTTTTACAATTTTTACTACTCTCCTGGGGAATAACTTGAATTTCGCACAGATAGAACGTCGTAGGTATGTTTGTTTTTATTTTCTGTAAACCTTCCGAGAGTTCTCGAGATCGGCTTACGCAATTTTGATTAAGAAATTAGTCCACGGATCGTGTTCCACGAAGAGCACTCCGTCTCTGTCACACGAGCGAATCGAATCGCGCCTCGGTCTCTGCGTTTACTATGCGCTTCACGAAAGCGTCCTGCTCGTCGTGGAAATCATGTCGGATTAAACGGAGGAACGTGGCTGCTCGTGATTTTGAGCGGCGACGTTCGTTTTCCATAGCACGAAGGTTCGAGCTGTGTCGAGCAATGTACGATCAGCGAAACCGGCGTTCATCTTCGTGGAATGTTAATTCCGTTTTAAACGACTGCTGAATGGCTGCGCCGTTAACGGGTACACCTTGTAAACAAACGTAATTGATTGTTCCGTGTCACCACGATGGCCGCTAATTGAACCGATGCATTAACTCGTGGCTACGCCGACGAAAGGAGCTCGATGTAAAACGCGCGCCGCCGCTTCCAGCCTCCTCTTTTTTTGCTAATTCCGCCGAAATTGAGTTTTAATCGATAAAAAGCGATCGTCTTAAACGAGATCTCGAACGACTTTCATTATTTTCTGCCCCTCTCGCCCGGTCAACGCGCTCCCCGCTCGAAATTAATCGCCAGCTTCGCCAGTAACCTCGTCATATCGTTCCGATGTTCGAGAAATATCTTAATGAAAGATGGGGGACAGGATTTTACGATTCCGCAACGTCCCACGAGACAATCATAAATATTTCTCTTCCAATCCTCGGACAAATCAATCGACGCGTGTCCGAAAAAATTGTATAACTTGGAACCCAATTTTTCCTAAGAATATTAATTCCTCATTGAATTCTATCGTATTCTCAATTCATCTCCGAGAATACATTCCACGTGGTATATCTGGGGCACCCATGGTGCCCTCGAAAGCGCGAATTTTCCCCAACCACGCGGTTCCTCTTAACATCGGCTTTAACGACTCACCGAGTAACATCTCGGTGCAAAATGGCTGCATAAAAATTCCGTCTCACCCAAGTATTCTCTGAAACAAGCTCCATTCTTCCTCCGATCTCCGGAAGATTTTTCACGAAATATTCCATCGTCCCTGTGGACCAATTTTTAATTTCATCTCACGGAGCTTTATTCGCTCGACTCGGCGCCGTGTTCGAAGCTTAAGTTCCGTGAAAAACACGAGAATCGAGGCGTAAATATTTTGTTTACCGAGGTGGCCGATTATGGCGTATCACGTTGAGGTCCAGAGGCGCCGTGCGTACAGCGTCCCGTAATCTTCGGCGGCTGGCCGATTATTTTATCGGCGCGAAACGCAGAACGAGAATGGCGCGACGTCTTTGAACCGGTGGACGGCACCGAGAGGCCGGTTGCGATTTTCCCGTTGCGCAACCACGGATTTTCCTACGCGCCTTTGTGCCCGCTCCGCGAGCGCGCGAATAATTCATCTCGCGACGGGAGCCGCGACCGCGGCGAAAATAAATAACAATTTCCGCGACAACGCCGTGAATTACGGGTTCGAGGCTGAGAGGGATTTTTCAGACACGCTGTGTGCCCGACCAGAGTTATTCGCCGGCTTGGGCGGACATTCTTGTTGCCGGGAGAACGTACGCTTCGCGGATAGAGGTGGATGGAGGCTTCGAGGTAGGGTCGATTTGAAGAGATCATTCGAAGATCTATATTCTGTCTGAATTTCAGGACATTCGAAATTGAACTATTCGGATTATGGGTAAAAAGAAATAAATATCGTTATATTATAATTATCTTTATTCTCTCTGAACCCATTCGAGACGGCGATTTTTTCGAACACGGTTCCCAGGAGCAATTACTCAGAATAATTGATAACTGCTCATTGTTATTATTGCACACACGGTGTGCAATCGGTCTCGAATGGGTTAAGGAAGGTACATCCCAAGTATTATAACTGTTCGCGTAGAGTCAAAACTAGAGCGAAGAAAAAGGGTATGCGATTGCAGCTCGTCTTGGTCCCCTAATTCTTATCTAACGTGTGAAATAATCACTTCACGCATTCCTGGAACCTCTTCGGCGCATAGTTTACAGATATATCTTTTTCTCTTGACAGATTCATTTTTGTACATTCGACACGTTAAGGTGTACCTTATTTTCAACATGAACTATCTTCATTTGCAAAAATCCCGATGTCTGGGAGAAATTGCAAAAATTTCTCGAGGAATTTTATTTTAATTGTCGGAATATTAAATTTAAATTTTAGATACGTCTGGTTACCTATATCTATATGGATCCCTTTTTCAGAAACGTTTTTAGTCGTGTGTCGTGATTAGAAATTCGCGGATTAGGGATTTTGTTATTTACAGTTGTAGCAGATTTATTAAAGAGAAGCGCAAGTGTGTTCGAGTTGCATGAAAATTGTAGAAAAATTCGTTTCCCCGTATAACAGCTTGAACATGCAAGCTTCATCTCAACATGATCGTTCATTCGAAACCGGTTGAAAAATTCGCTCGCGGAGCAATTCAAACATCGCTGAACCTACTTGAATTTCCCGAAACTCGGACTACTCGAGTCTCCCTTATCTTTCACCCGAGCCGAAAATTTTTCCAAAACTCCTAACACCTTTCGGGCTGCTCGAACGCTTGGGAACTACTCGAAACGATCGGTGAGAATGATCGATCTCTCGTTGCGATTAAACGGACGAGCGCCTGCGGGTTCGTACGAAGCCGAATTGCTGGTTCTAATCAGCGTCGCGGCGGCGCGGATCCGGCGTCGTTTAGTCTCAGGACGCTTTCGATCTTTTTCCATGCACGCTGCCGGACGCGTGCGTCAGCGTGGAGCCGGCCGAAGAGAGTGTGATTATTGTAACTTCGATGAGATAAGAGCGACGTGGCACGAACGTGTCTGTCCGTGATAGTGGTCCGTTTGTGTCGAGCGTAATTTATTAGCCGGCCCTGCCGAGATATATCCGCCGCCGCGTCGCTCCGCTCCGCTCCGCGCCATGCCGCGCCGCGACGCGGCGGTCATCGCGGCTCCGATGTTTAATAAGTGCGCGCCGCGTCCATCTTTTGTTGTTTATTTTATGCAGACGAGACGATACTTTCGCTAATCGCGAAACTGTCCCCGAGGATGACGATCCGCGCGCATTTTGCCGCGTCTTCCGTACCCCGCGAGTATTTACAGGGCTAACAAATTCTTCTGGTACCCCTATAGAAATATTATTACCAGTCTTCTGGAATTATTACTATTAAATAAACCTATATTTTTCTTAGGATTTTCAGCGATATCAACTTTTTCCGATAGTTCTTTACGAATTTTTATTTCATTTTCGTAGAATTATTAATTCTCGTCCGAAGAACTCTGAGTTCACACTGACTCGTGGAATTCATGGGTACCAAATTCTTCTGGTACCCCTATAGAAATAGGAATTCTATTTCGCTTTTATTATCAGTCTCCTGTAATTATTATTATTATTAAATATATCTATATTTCTCTTAGGATTTTCAGCGATGTAAGATTTTTCTGATACTTTCTTACGAATTTTTATTTAATTTTCGTAGAATTATTAATCCTCGTCCGAAGAACTCTGAGTTCACACTGACTCGTGGAATTCATGGGTACCAAATTCTTCTGATATCTAGGAATTTTATTTCGCATTTATTATTAGTCTCCAGTAATTATTAGTA